ATGCTCACTGAACTTTGCTGGATAACCTGAGATTCTGTGATAGCTTGCTGAGACATATTTCTTTCTGTCAAGTCACCATTGCTTTCTTGCTTTTGTTCATTTAGCTCATCATCACATTTACATAGAGATTTCCCATTGTCTCATTCACCTGGCTATGCATTACATCTTGTTGTCGAATTAGTTGGTTACTCTTGTTTGTGACTTGTGGAACTAGTTGGTTGTTTTGAAAAGGCAGTAAGGAACATCTTTTCCTTTCATTCTGCTGTATGTAGATAAAAATTGTAACATATCAAGTTTATCAAGTCTCAAATTTCTCAGATAAGATAAAAATATTATATATTGTATCATTTTGTTCTACGGGACCAAAAGGTTATTCTTATAAAACAATTAAAAATAATGAAATAGTGCATGCAAAAGGTTCTCTTTAAAAGGTGATAGGAAAATGAAAATAAGTTTTGATTTCAATAAATGAAAGTGTGAAAGACAATAAACAATAATTAAAGTAATTTAGAAGGAAGAAATAACCTGTGATAACCAACAAAATGTATTCTTAAATGAAGAAATGAAAAATTTTACGTTTACATTTGATGTATTAATGTATTAATGTATTTGATGTATTAATGTATTGTACTGATGACTTTTACAATTCCATATGGTTATTTTTAGATTGATAATATAATATATAAACCAGTTGTAAAACTTCATCATCCTTTTATGATGACTATTTGTGGACCATCACAATGTGGAAAAACACATTTTATGAATTAATAAAATTTAATAATGAAATCTTTGATCCTCTTTTCACAAATCTTTTGTATTACTATTCATCTAGTTACCAAGAAATGTTTGACAAAATAAAATCTGTTATTAATGAACAAAAAAATACAGCCCTGCAAAATTAGGAATTTATTAAATGTAAATTGCATATACCCTTTGTAACTGACATAAAACAAAAATTAAGGAAACAATTTATTAAAGTCATATCAAGCTGATCTATAATTTTGCAAGTTTTATTATTAACAAGCTTTACTTGTACATTTTTCCCATTTCAATCAGCTTCTTCACCGCCAGTCATATTTGAAGGAATTTTCTCTACAGTGTCAATTTTTTGAATCCATCCAATATATCTTAGTTCACATTAGTTAAATTGTCACGTGAATTATATGGTGTGTATAAAATACTTTTTAAATATGAAATTCTATTATATTGATTAGTAATATTATTTACTAAAACATCATTAATGAATAAATTTACTTTACCCCACTTACTGGTTAAAGGTCTTCAATAAATTTTATTTTACCACTTATAGCAAAGTCATCAGTTCTCAAACCATACTCAGATCTTGACATTTGAAGAGGTCTAAATTCTATTAATGTGTAATTTAAAGGAACTGGTTGAAACAGATTTAAATTATTACTTACAATATGATCATTTTTATCAAGTTCATTTTCATTAACACTTGCCATATTTTATTACTGAGAAGTTGACACCACCAACAAAAAATATAAATGAAAACATAATTTTTTTTTAAAACTTATAAATTTATATTATTTACAAAAAATTAAATTTATTTCTGCGAAAAATTCATTAAATCATCATTAGGAAGTGTGAAAGCAGCAGTGAGATAGTACGAGGGAGTGTTTTGGCTTGTATGGTCCTTCATAACATCTGTCTTATGAGAAAAGATAAGATTTCCAAAACCCTTGCCCTTTCAATTGATCCTGCTACCAATGAGAAACGAGATAGGGAGAGACATGTCAAATATGACAACATGTCGAAAAGTTAAAGATACCTGTATTGAAGCTGGGAAAATTATAAGTGCTCTTGTTGAAAAACTATGGCTGGAAAAAGAGACTGGAGAAATATGCAATTTTTAATGACAATACCACTAATTTTACATGAATATCCTACAAGTGTTTTATATCATAGAAGAGGTATTTTAAGGTAAAGAAATGGTTATTTTTATATCTCTGTTTATTGTATATTATTACCTCTGTTTATTTTTCTTCTAGGATGTAATTGTGATGTAAATTATTTGAACCCAGGATATCGTTACATGTTTGTAAATGTATATCGTCCAGGTTGATATAGTCCTAAGAAGGACTGTCTTCGTTGTTGTTGACTGACGTTTTGACAACCTTAACGGTCAGAGTCAAATGAATGTCATTCATGAGTGGCAATTTCCCTGTTGTTGGGCAGCTATTGATGGCTGCCACAAACCAATAAAATGCCCACCAGGTGGTGCAGAATCATGAAATTATGAATTAACAATTAAAATCATGATCAATTAATCAAAATCTGAATTAAAAATAATATTTTTTAATTAGAATCATGAATTGAAAATAATATTTTTGAAAAGGAAAGTTTAAGACAGTTGGTTAATGAGATTTTTTATGTAAATAAAGTTTTGTTGGTGGATCCTGTTATAAGCTTTGTGATAAAAAATGTGAAGAAATTGAAGGGAAATTTTATCGTGAAAAATTAAAAAAGGTTTAAAAATGAAAAATATTACATTAATTAGTAATGTTAATAATAAAAATGGTGAAAAAAATGTTTTACTACAACATTACCTGGTCAAATTCATGCATTAAATGATAAAATATAACATAACTGTGTGAAATGTTTTTTTATCCAAAAACAGCAAAAATATTAATGAAGATGAATGCTGATGTGATTTAAAATTATTTTATATATAAAATATTTTATTCAAACGGATGTTACTCAGGGTGCGAATTAGTTAAGAAAAAACGATGTGCAAATTTTTTCGACAAAAATTTTTCTCCAGAGGCATAATCAAATGATATTACATTTATTATTATACTGTACTATTTACTAAATTAATATTTTTAGAACGTAATATTTTTATAACATTTTATCAACATATACATATTTACAAGTTATCACGTTATAGTACACGAGTAGTCACTTTCTGACGAGTCTTGGTCCGAAAAATAAGCATGTTTGCTTCAGCTTGATGCGTCTAACGTATCGACGCTCTTTCGCTTCTCTGGGTAAGCATGGCCTCCATATCCAATCCTTCGTTTCTTTTGTTGATACCACCGCTCTATTGCGGGAGCTGGATCATAATCTTCCACTGATGGACCCTCCTCACTAATTTGTAACAGACTGTCCAATCTTTCTCTTGACATTCTGTTACGTAGGTGTGGCTTCATTCTGGCCATTGTTGCGAACATTCGCTCAACCACAGCATTAGAGATGGGCGTAATTAATAACAGTTCCACAATGTTAGCATTTGAAAACTTTTCTTTACTAACTGGTGAAGAGAGAATGGCAGCCCAAACATCTAAGTATGGTATAGCTCTGCCATACGTCTCTGAAATCAACAACTTAAGCCCACTCCATTCTGTCAGCATCGTATCGTGCGACACATCGCATCCGTTATGCTTCAAAAGCTGAATGAAGTGGTCGACAAGTAGCGTAACCGATTCGTCTCCATAGCTCACCAAATTAACTTCCTCACCTGGCCAGGATTGGGTGTCTATAATTGGACAAAGGTGTTTGTAAACTGGTGTCTCTTGAAGATCACTAAAGCGATTGCCCAAACAAAGGATACTCGCATCTATCCACTCTTGTCGTTGTCCCGCAGCTCCATTTAGTGCACGGGGACAATTTGTGAGCACAACTTGATACGAAATCTGGTTCTTGTCATCACCAGTAGGTTTGCAATCCTCCCTAAATTTATCGAAAGTAGCCTTGCCAAATGTACTATCTTGAAGCTTGACCATTTTCCAGTCAAATTCCTTGATTCTCCTTAAAGCTTTAGCTGGATCATTGTCGTCAGTTTGTAGTCCAAGAGACAGAACACGCAAAGGACCAATAATGTCCACAAAGATAGAAGCATACATTGGGAAACGAGCGTCTTTCCATTTAGCTAGGAAGCCATTTATCTTCTGCTTTTGGGCATCAGGTGAAGTAGTTGCGGCCTACATAAGAAACAAAAAGTAACATATTACATGACATTAAATAATTTAATAAAAATGCTTATTACTGTTATTACAGGCAAACATTATTCTAGAAAATTTAAGGAGGCGATGCAAATTTGATGGAAAACAGCAAAAGTTGGAAAATTAGCCATTTTTACCTGTTCAAGATGCTGCATATACATGCCGTAGTTCTCCAGGAAAACCTGCGTTGCGCGCACTTTGTGATCTATCCACCTTGTCCCACTTGCTTTGATGGGCTTATAGACAGTTTCTCCATACACTTCAGCTAGTTTTTTCAGCTCTCTCAGTTTCTTGGGTGACGTCTGGTACAAAGAAAACAGTTGACGCAATATTTCATCTACTTGTGAAAAAAACGTAGCATTGAATGCGTCGGCAGCAGCTAATTCTAGACAGTGATTGAAGCAGTGGACGACAGTGAGCCAAGGAGTGACTTCTTTTAGACAAGCTGCTAAACCAGTATTTCTCCCCATATTAACACTTGCCCCATGTAGACCAGTTGCAGCTAGTTTCGATTCGAAGTTTGTAATGCCAAAACGGGCAAAAGCTTCGTTCATACCTTCCTTTAGCCCTGCAGTATCTTCGTTTTCAACTGTTTCAACCGACATAAATTTGCAAGTACTACGACTGTTCTTATTCACATATAACACGTAAAATAGTTCTTGTGATTTTACACTAGTATCAGTGCTGGCATCGCATAAAACTGACAAATATCTAGCATCCTTTAAATCTTCATCAAGATTTCCTTTCATGACCCCAGAAATGTGATCTGACAATTCAGCGGCTGATCAGCCTGTTTGATACGATTTACCTAGATCAACGCAGCACTTCTCCAGGAGCTCGCAAATGGGGATATACTTTTTGAAAGGCAACTCTTCTTTACACACAGTGAAAGTGGCATTAAAGAGATATTCCATCCTTTCACGATCGGCAACTGCCATTTTGTTGAGTTCTTGCCCAATGGGAGTTTCGTTTAAGTATTCTTCAACATATTTTTCATTCAACGTTTCTTTCAAATTTAGCTTAACTGCCATCTTATGTTGATCAGAATTCATATGATTTACCACTGTGTTTTTCTTTACAACAGCTGATCCTGTTATGAATGTGCGAGAGAAATTTTTTGCGTTTGTTATTCTGTCCTCTTTGTTTGTACAAACTTTAAAGCGCAGTGAATTCACCACTTGGCCATCATTCTCGTATTCAAGCCAGTCGGCATTTAACGTTTCTATCCATTTTTTTACTGTTAATTTTGCTAGTACAACGTTTCGATGAAGAAGCAATCATGGCAAGAAAAACATAAGCGAGGAGAGAAACATGCACCGAGTATAGCTACTTTTGTCTTCTGAGTATCTAATATTCTTTATTGATGTTTACTTACAACAAAAAATATTTTTGTCATATTACAAACAATGCATAAAAGCAAAAAGTATGTTTAATCCAAGTTGCCAGTGATTTTTTTCTAGCATTATGCTCCCAAAAATCTTTTTGGCTTATTTTTCAAATTTGAAAGTTTTAAAGGTTTTTTTAGGAATCAGAAGGAAAATGTCTCCTGATTTTATCGAAAACACTCAGAATAGCTATGATGCCAAAAAAGTAATGATGTACAAACTACAAAACAATGCAATGCAAAAAATAATATTTATATATGTATTACATCCGTATATGGTCAGAAGAACCATGTATGTCGACCAGTATGTCGACCTTTGACAGACTTTCCAGTCTCAAAGTGACGACGTTTTGAATTTGATGACATTGTTTCAACAAGGCCAATTACATGGCCTAAGATTTTAAAAACGTTTTTTTTCAATATATGTGATATTAATGAAAAACTTTTTTGCTCATCGTTTGAAAAAGTGATGTGCAATTATTTTCATTTTAGCCAAAACAATGTGAAATTGCACACCGTTAATTCGCACCCTGATGTTACCACTAAAAATATAGATAAAAGTTTATATACAATTTTGAAGTTTAATATACCACGAATTAGAATACCGTTGGGAGTATATAACAATAAAAAAGTTATTTCGCTTTTAAATGATTATTTAAATTATTTCAATATTTTTTTAATAATAAAAATGGAAAAATAATATAATTTTAACAAATGAATATACTTGTTACTATATTCAGGGGAAAGAGTCGTATTCTAGAGGGTAAAAAATATGATTTTAAAAATTATATTTGGACAAAACCCATAATGAACAAAATAAAATATATCGATTTTGCTACAGGAAATAATACATAAATAATTGTTCCTTTACATTATGCAAGTGAAAGTGGAGATGATTTGTTTGTGTACAATCCTCCAATTATAAAAAAAAATTAATTTCTTCATTAATAAAAGATTTAACTATAAAAGTATTGAATCATCAAGGCAATTATATACCATTTGATTCTGGAAATATAATGTTGGGATGTCAAATTGATTAAAAAATGGAAATTAAATTACGTCCTCTTAAAATACCGCAACATACCGATACTTCAACTCGAAATTGTTTTAGGGCAAATAAAGATATATCCTTTGAGTTTAAGTGTGCCAAATCGAGCAGTACCCACCAACACAATCTGGACCGTCCAATAGTAAACGATAGTGTTGAGAAATTAAGTCAGATCGATTAATTATTAGCAGAATTGAAGAGAAGACATGAGGAAGATGATTTGATTAATGGAGTAACTAATAATACAAAAAGACATGAAGTAATAAAAGCATATAATATATTAAAATCAATGGTACGAATACATATATATTTTCTAATATTATTTCTATCCAATTGAATTCCTTTGTGTTCGTAATAATCTAATATAAAATCATTTAGTTTATCTTCGTTAACAGTTTTATCCTCATTATAACATTCTGCAGGAATACCACTATTTTCTTGTTTCATTTTCATAAAGTTATTTACAAATTGACCAAAACTTTTACCCTTATTTTTATAATGATAAATTTCATATATTTTAATTATTCTATAACCACATTCAATAGCTTTACTTATCTCAACACTTGTCCATGTACCCCTTAGTGCTCTCTTATCATTATATTGAATACATTTTTGATTTTTTTCCATAGCACAAGTATAACACAATGTAAATATCAATTTATTATCAATGTGTATGGGTAAAACAGGAAATAGAACTGTACTAGGCAGTAAAATACAGCATTTAATCCAAACATACTACCAACATCAGTATGTAAGCATTCTTCCTCTAAATATGTTTCAGGATGATTTAGAGGATATTCATATTTTTTTAAACGTATGGATATAATGACATAAAGTCAAAATATTCAATCTTTTCACTTTCCTTCACTTCATAATATAAATATGAAGGTGATATTCTACCACCATATAATGCGTCACGTGGATGTAACGGTAGCACATTAAAAAATTCCTCTTTCCTATTTTTTATTTCACTAATATTTGTATCTTTTAAATATTCATATTGCCACGTTTCGACTATGCTATAATTATTAACAATTGTTTTGAAAAATGTTGTTTGCATTCTTATAAAATACATTTTTTCTTTTTTAATGTATTATAATCATCATTATTAAAACAATTATTACAACCATGAAAAAAACATCCGTAAAATTGATATACAGTATTGTTTTCTTCACAATATCCATCAACTAATCTACCTAAAATTTTTATTTCTCCATTAATGGTAATTTTTATTCTAAAGTGTAACCCATTTCATCTAATTTTAATTTAACTTCGCTTAACCAACAATGCTATTAAACTTTGCATGGTATTACTCCTGTATCCAAATGATGGGATTTGTGATATTTTATCATCTGGTAAATAATTACTTCTGAATATTTTTAGTGTTAAACCAGCAATTGTTATGCATGATGTATTGTTAAAAGGTAAAATGTTTGTGATGTTGTAGATTAAATTTGAAAATTTTATACATCCAAGTCTTAGTATATTAACATCATTACTACAATAATAATGTATTGCATCTCAAATTTTATATTCTTTTTCACATTATTATACCATGTGTTAAAATCATTTGTTTCATTTTCTGAAATATCAAAGTACTTTTTATCAATCATATTTCCCCTGTATGTCAAATCAAAAAATTTGTATGGATCATATCCTTTTACAATATTATCAATTTCGAGTGATTTTGTAAAGTTTGCTAATTTCATGAATAAAAATTAATAACTATCAATAATTTGTAGATTAATTTCTTTTATTTTTAAAGATATAAAATTTTATTTCCATTCATAACAGTTTCGAATTATATTTTTTTCTGTCAATAAGAATTTTAATAAAAATTTTGTGTCAAATCTAGCACCATTATGTGCAATCCAAACAGCATTTCTTTGTTCTAACATAAACTGAACTAATCGTGATGTTACATCATTATTACAATCAAATACAAATTGACCATAACCACAGCAATCAACGTGATCAATTGATAAGTCAGTAAAATAATCCATATCTTGTAAAAATACTCTAAATTTTTGTGAAAAGGAATTTTCTCGCATTTCCGACATATTTTCCGAACAACACAATAGAATGGTATCATTAAATTATTTTCATCAGTTTTTGTTTCAAAATCAAAGAAAAACAATGTTGGTGTACGCTCATACTTAAAGTCTTGGAATAAAGTCTAAAGGTTTGATGTGGCATTTAACTTGCTTGTTCAAATACTTTCTACAATGAGCACACTACATTTTTTGATAATCATGAAAAACAACCTTATTTTTTTTAATGAAGAAAAATCGTGGAACAATTTCTTCCATGTATTACAAACAAAAATTTTCGACAAGGAGTGACCTTAACACTGTTCTTATTTTTAAGCAATTTATTAAACAGATGTTTTTTGAAAACTATCTGTAGATTTAAAAATATGTTACATTCTTTGCGTTGAAATTTTTTGCTTTCTTAGTGTTCCGATAACATTTTAAACATTTATCTTCATTTTTACACATATGAGAGTCCACATACTCGTCAAATAATGCATGCATTTAAAGCAAAATAAATCTATGTTTAACTTAGAAAAAAGTTTAGGATTTAAGATTAAGTCATAGTGATAATCATTTAACCATAAAAAATAATTTTATCACTTATGTGAAAGGATTCGTGATTAGTCATTCTTGAATCATAACTTATTGTGTCTAATTTATCTTTAAAAAAAATTACGCCAATATAGTCATATTTTATGAATTTATTGGTACGTAAATATAAAAAGTGCTTTTTATTTAGATTCCCCTTAAAAAATCCTAGTCTGTTAAAAATAGGCTAATTGCAATGAAACGGGATAAATGGAAACCATCTCAATACTCTGTTTTGTGTGAGAAACACTTCAAACTGCATGACTATGTAATGCTTGGAATTCACATAGTTTCTAGAGGGGTTGAAACCCACCCCTACATAGACATATCCACCCCAAATTGGTAACCCACCCCTACATTTGGGTCCAAAATTTCCTTACCCACCCCTACATACGAGCCGAAAAAAAATTCGTTTTTTTCTACGGAAAAGCTGATTTTAGACTTATTTATGGTCTCTCTATGCATACTATATACAACACTGATAAAGTCTATGTATTCACTAATATTGTCAATCAAGCAAGTTCACCAAACTCGCCAAATATCTTCTTCTTTGAGGCTAACTCTATCTCTTCATTGTATCCAGTGGTACACTCCCGGACAGGTAGTTCCAGCATGTTCAGGAAGAACTCATGGCGGATATTGTCGACCAGAAGTTTGTTCCGTCTTGCAGTGCAAATCAACTGCAATTTGCTGTATGCTCTCTCAATCCACCCAGTGTTGGGTGGGATTGAGAGCATGACCTTCACCACCTGCACCATGCACTTATGTTCCATCCTCCTCTCTTGAACTAATTTCCTCCACAGAGCCATCTGAATGTGAAATAAATGAATCATTTCAATTCTCTGCCTATTTTTCATCAATATTATAGGTCAACAAGGATGCATTATATATCCAGTGGATCTAGTTAAACGAAAGAAATGTGTTTACCTGGGTTATTTTTCCTTCTCCATACGATATCAATGTCTTCGTTTGAAAACTGCCAACCGTTACCAATTGGTGAAGGAAGAGTCATTTGGGGTAAAATAGACTGACACCACACACCCGCCTGGTAATTTACTCTTTCAATGTGTCTAAGAAGGCTGTCACATGTTGGTGGCAATACTTCATCCGAACATTTTCCACCTTTCAACATTGTGTATCGGCATTCATCGGCATTCTTTGATGTATTGTCGCCATACAGTAGACAAGTGAACTTGTTCAGATCACATAAAAGGACGTTGGCAGGAGGGAAGTTATAACCAAGGAGAGAAAATGTCTCAACAAAGCAAGGATGAGCAATTAGCGTTTTCCATGCTTTGACCTTACCTTTTCCGTAAAACGAGCTCGTGCAGTCACTTCCTAAATGTAAAGCAAACGTCAATACTTTAGTATTAGTTACCCTCATATTTTAGAACTTGGTAGAAGTATAATATCAGTGAAAATATACGCAAAAAATAAGAAAATGATGCAATGATTAGAAGGAGCCATTTCTCTGACCACCCCCATCAAAATACCTACATTGAAATGCTAACCTGAAAACACGTGAAAGCCTGGCAAGCAGCGACAAAATTCTTCGTTCATGGCGACAGTAACTGCATTTATATGTACTGTGCGAGATTTGTTTCCAGTACCAGTCATAAAAAACAAATCCTTTGAACCCAGGTTTTTTTGCATTGCTACACAAAGAATGAAGACATCTGTATCTGGACTCCTAATAATAACATTAACGTTAGTGCCCATTGCATGCTTGGCGTGTAAAGCATACGGGTGTCGGCTTCCTCATGATTGCTTTCTAGCACACTGCATTCACAACATAAAACCGGTCCTCGTCAAAAGCTGAACAAGAAAGTACATAGCATTTTTCTTTTGTAGTAATATATAAATTTTCAACTTGCGTCAGTTGAGATGATTTATACTCTTTCCAATGTTCACACAAAAATCATAAGGGACTCCTTGTTTTCTCCACAACTTAAGAATTTTTCCACTGCTTTGGAACGGGCTGATCTTTACCAAAAATTCAATTCGTTGAACTCCTTTCTCGCCCGTCTCTTTCTTTCAGCGTTCTTGATACTCAATTTTGGATATCGATCTGTGACGAAGTCCAATCTTGTAGCATTACATTGAAATGCAACTTTCAGAAGAAATTGAAATATCGAGTCAGATAATTCACCGAAGGTCTTCCACTTTCTTTAAATAAGCAATTAAAGTGAGAGGCCTCTGAATTGCGCAAAGAATTAACAGAACACTTTATGTCAAGTTACGACACAGAAAGACAAGTCTACGTTATTAAATTCAAGAGAATATGTCGTGTTTGCATATATAAAAGAAGGTCTGTGCATGCAACGTGTCTTTAACATTTACCTTTCATAACTTGCAAGACAGCCATTGCATCTGCTATAAGAGCATTGTTGTGAAAGCTGCGAATATCGACTTCTGGATTGTCTGCTTCTCTCTCCAAAATTTCAAGCAGTTTAGGCCTTGCAGTTTTTATGAGTCCTCCATTCGGTGTTGAAAGTGACAGGGGAAACAATCCTATACTGTATGACAATACCCCCTTCAAATTGACGTGACGATTTTTTGCTATGACTAAAAGCTTAGCAAAATAACTTCGGTTTATTTTGATGTTTTTTCCTTCCCTTTTGAGCCACTCAGTACTTGTTTCCTTTTTCCAGAGAACGTTTCAATACTGTTGCGCTCCAATTTTGTGAAAATATCCGGATTGTCGGAAAACAAGTTGTTTTTAGAAAATTCTGAGAACTACCGCTCACCCAGTTGCTCTGCAGATAGAAGTCGATCTGCCACAGTGGTTTCTAACTCTACTCCACTTGCCAAATTTATCAAATGTTCTTGATCAACATCAAAAGGATGTGCCATTTGGGATATAGAAGTTAGTACGTCTTGAACACATTGCTCATAGCGTTTGCACTTGGAGTAATCAAGGTCTTTACGCTTTCTGAAATGCATGAAAAGAGGATGTCTCCAACATTTGAAGGGAATTATAAATTTATTTACACGAAACAACCCATCCTAACCCTAAGCTTCATAGCAGAATATGCGAATCAAATTCACCTTGGCTTATATTCCAACCCCGCCATGTAATTACACTTTCTTGTTATTGCTGCTCTCTGCGATTGTGATAGCATCCATCTTTGCACCGCTCCAGGATTCATAGAAATTCCAGTCAAACCACCCTTCGTCTTCGAATCGCGGTTTACAGTTTGCTCAATTGTTTGATCACACGCCACAGCAGAAAAACCATAGTTGTTTTGACGTTGTACAGCAAAGTTACATGATATTTCAGACAAGATTCCTATATAATAAAGATATATCACAATTGTTTGTCGTAATAAGCAAGACTTTAATTAAATGACACAATGACCAAATCAAACCTGGATGTGTCTGATCCAAAGCAACCATCTCAAGCCAATATGCAGACCCATATCTTGCATAGTTTATCCGATCACAGGCGAAAAACCATGGCAACATTGCTCTAAAGGTTGCCAAATGTAGTTTCCAGTTTATCTCCCTTGTAGCTCTGATAAACATCAACAAAATATCTAAAAAGTAGGAAGTATATCTAAAATTGATAAATTCAAAGTGCATGTCCTGTAGATTTGACCTTGTTACAACCTAGAAAATAAATGAGAGGGTTTATTGTTATTTACCTATCATTTTGTTGTACATACTCCAGAAAGCAAACGCTCTTGATTTTGAGGATGCATTTTGTATGAAGTTTTCGTACTCTTCGCATATTTCCTCAAACAGTTCACTTTCAATACAATCGCGGAAACCTTTATTTGGAAACGAATTTGACATTTCACATAGGAATGCCATTATTCTTCCATCTTTTTCTTCTTCTAAATCATCCAGGTATGCTTCAAACCTTAAACGTTGCAGTGCTTCGTACAAAATTTTATGGCATGACATCGATCTATTGTAATTCTTTCCAGAAAGGACACTCTTTACGGATCCTTCGCTCACAACACCCGACTCAATTAACAGATCCTAAAGAACGTTTTGCGGAATCATTACTTTTAGAAACGTATTTATCTAATTGCCACTTATTTCTTGTATAAGTTTTATATGTGAAAATTAAGATATGAATTCGCACCTTAAGTCCTCCATCTTCAAAGAGCTTTTACACTGCAGATAGAAAAGACATGACAGTATGAAATTCTCCAAGACGTACGACCAGTTTATCATAGTAAACGGGTTCTTTCCATCGTACGTGCTGGATTTAGAGTAAACTGCCTCATCAAAGACTAAGACAGCATATTGTAAGTCAAGCTTCTCTGCGATATTCTTGCTTCTTTTAAGAATTTCATTAATTGTAGAATATTCAGTTGGTGGCGCATTTATAACTGGCAGGTAACCCACTCTCGATACCTCAGGTATTTCTTCAATAAGCATGGTGTTAAAGCCGGTCCATCCAGGCAGTGCTGTTTCATCAGTGACATGAACCATTTTCGTTAAAACATATGCTAAATCAAGCTTGTGAGCTGCTTAATTTAACTCATGGTTCCTATCAATAAGCATTGAACGGGCGACTTCATTGATATCAAAAAATATTGGAGTTTTTTTTGGCCCAATACTATATTCTGCTATGTTGGTATTCGGCATCTTAACAGTTCGCTGTGACTTTTTGACGATGCTGGAATTTTGCATTGTTATGTGTTGCTGTCCAGACAATTTCTGCGTTATAATTCCGTTTGTGACATGGGTTTGTTTTTTTATGTCCTCGCCAAAATCAATGTTGTCGTAAATCAGGTTAACATACTCTTTCTCTACAAACTCTTTGGGAACAATATTAGATGTATCAATAGTTGTTTGGGCAAGGGCAGAATCATACGCCATTGCGGATGACAAGGAGACACAGTGTCCAAGACAGTTCAAAAGGCTGATCAGGCTTGAACAGCCAGAAATTTGTCTAACAGCTGTTGCCAAGGCTAAGGATTTAGGCGTTTGCATTTTTCCTTTACTGCTAACGTTGATTCTTCGTTTAGCGTTCTTCTCCCCTACTTCAACATATTCCGACAAGTCCGGGTCGTATGAAAAACCAAGCATCCATGCGAGGAAATTAAACAGAGTTGGCGAAACAATTTTCCTAACACTCTCATTATTTATGTCAGAAGCAAGGGGCGGCCAGTTTTCGTACCATATTGAGACGGCCCCGTAATGTTAGCGCTACGTTAAATACTTCATTAAGGGTCGTCGTTTTATTGCAGCTGCCTTTTGGAACGTCATTGTTGAAAAATTCATCTTCTGTGTCCATCTCACTTTGCGAAGTTTCTGTGTCTTCATTTAAATAATTTTCTGCCACAGTTCCTTGACAAAGACCTTCAACGTATACAATTTCACTTTTTTTCCGTTCTTTTGGTGAAAAGAAAACAATTTGAGGGAATCTCTCTCAAAATCTCTCTTTTAATCGAAAATTTCTATAATTTGACGCATCTGTGCCTTCAATTTCTGAAACTGTCTTAACAAACTCAGCTTTCATTCTCTTCATAAAAAAAATTTCTTCGTTCATCAGCAGTCTTTTCTTTACAAATCTTTCACAAAAAACATCAAAGGACTTTTCGTATTTGCATGCGTATCTGTCATAGTTTTCAGAATCATAAACTTCATCTATTACATTGCTGCGTCTTAAAAAGCTAGTGTATCGTTCGTAACACCGTCTATGATACCTAACCTCTAAAGCTACACAATCTTTATCAGCAATATTTACAAGTATACTTTCATCTGAATTTCTCCTAGCTGCTTCTCTTAATTTACCCCCATCTTTTGTCTCTGCCATAACCAGTCGATCTAGCTTTCGCTTTCGAGTGCCCTATTAGTCATAAGTGAACATTTTTTGGTGAAATTATTAATTATCAAGAAGACAAAGATTGTTTCTCACGTAAAAAAATTTCTTTTCAATGCGGAAAAAATATATAAGCGAGCTTTTAATGTAGGATGTAAAAGCTTTCGATAAAAAGAAAAATACAATAAAAATGTGTCACTTAC